CGGGGACTTTATAGACGTATTTTTAGATACAACGAATGGACCATGCCAATATAATTAAATAATTGTATCATGAGCAGCTAATTTTGGGCACAGCGAAGGTGCCACTGTTGCCCCAGGGAACCACTCCAGTCACACAACCTCGATTGGCTCGAGGGGATATCGATTTATCCTTTCTCTGAGTATAACCACGTCGAACAGCGCGATAATATCCGGATTCGGACGACAGAAATGAATGCATGTACATGGTAAGTAGCTGTGGCGGAGTAAGATATGGGTGGTGGTCCCCGGTAAGGACTCGAATACAAACCAACCACATCGAGTCGACAGAAGTCGTGAAGACGGTGTCCGTGTGGATGTCCTCACCATTCTGAACCACTGGCGACGTACCACTTTTGAGTTTGTGTTGGCACTTCAAATCAAATCTAAAAAGCGCCAACGCACCGAAACGCGGGCGCTAGCTTGCGGCGACTGATGTAAATTTTGACCGCATTGAGGGGGGCGCAGGATATGTGGGGCTGAGTGCGGGACTTAAGCATGGCGAGGTTCCATCACCAGGCAGGTCATCTCCGGAAGCAATGCGGGCCAAGCTTGGTCAACAATTAACGACCTGAACAGCACATCGCCGACGGCGAGTCCCGGCATGTCGAGCAAGGAGAGAGAGAATGGAGGGTCGGGATATGCCGAACATATGATTAGGTCACAAATTCGGGATGAGGTCTAAGACTTTGGCGCTCTTTCGAGAAATATGGCCAAATTTCGAGAAAACCGAGAACTTATCCACATCCATCCTCATCATGTACAAAACAACTACACACATACAACATCCACAACGACAGAGAAAAAAGCGTCTCTACAATCCTACATACACCCCGTGCGCGGTTGGTTATCATATCGGCTATCCTCATTATCCGCTTTACAACACGTTTTCCACTTACAACGGCCGTCCCACGGCACAAGTTACATCCCTCCCTCCACCTTCTTCGTACATGCATCCATAATTTATTCGGCGTCGTTCTCGCCGCCGTAACCGGCCCAGCGCACGGAGGAGGGATCCCCGTACGGAGTGGCGCTGAGGACGGACCTCATAGCCACGTCACGCCCCGCCCCCGCGCAAAGTCCACGCCGTTCTTCAGCTGCTCGAGCGTGAGGAAGATGAGGATCGTGGTGGGCTGCAAGCGGGACCACGCGGGGAGCCAGCCCTTGAACATGAACATGGGGCCCTCGGTCTGGAGCGAGGTGCGGATGACGGCGAGCGTGGACTGTATGGATACGAATGAGTAAAGTGAATGTCGATGAGCAAAGGTGTGGATAAAAATGAGCGAAGGAATGAATAAGAATTGAGTTGACGACAGCAACGGAAGGAAGGGTGAAAGAGAAGAATCAAATTAGACGCACATTTGACCCCGGCCCCGACGCGTTCATAATCCGGCTCTACACATCAAACAATCAACATCCACGCTAATATCCCAATGACCGAAAGAGACGCACCTTGAGCACATCGGCGGGGGAGCACACCGTGGTGGCTACCGTGCCCTGTGGAGGAAGGAGATCAGCATCGGCGCATATGTATGATAGGAAGCAGAAATAGGCGAAAAGAAATCCAGGGTTTCGACCGTCTCGTCATCGATGCAGTCCATCCACGACGCGACCTTCGCCACGCATCGACTTCCGTGCTCCCGCGCCCATACAAATATTTTTTGAAATAAAAGGACAGCAAAACGTACCGCAGCGAAGCTCGCGGTAAAGTGGCACGCGATGTTGTCGTTGAAATACTGCGTCTTGAGCAGCTCCGCCTTGAAGAAGTCGTACCTGGCGGGGTGTCAATATTCTGTACGGTGGGGCAATAGATATGTGTGTGTGTGTAGACTACGCCGCAGTAGCAAGGGAGGGACGCAATTCATAATGTCGCGCGGGGCGGACGCAACGTCCCCACCAAAGAAAATGCCATAAATCCGTAAACGATCGGGGGGAAAGAATGCAATGACACCCGGAGAAAAAGTTTTGGGAAGGAAGACAGCACTCACGACGCCAGCTGGCTCGCATTCATCAGCACCGCGCGGAAAACGTTCGGGCCCACGCCGCGCGCGAGCGAGGACGCGCCTTCTTCTTTGACCATCTGGCGACAGGATTGGATTAGCGACAGGATTAAGTTAGTGAAAGAATGAGTGAGTGCGAGGGTGAAAGAAAAGGGGGGGAGGAGAGGAGAGTAGAGAGCGAGACAGAAGAAAAAAAGTGTGTCGGAGAGAAGGAAGGTAATTATGATGATTACAAGATGACGTGAAATGTGAATGAGGAGAATAAAGAAAGGTTAACGCGAAGAAATCGAAGCCGCAGCGAGCTGCAAATGCATTGATTCGGCGCGATGTGGAGACACGATGAGAAAGAAGGGCCCTACGCCTGCGTAGGAGCGAGCGCCGCCCAACACCAGTGGTGGAGCGAGGCAGCGACCTGCGCCAAAGAAGGGCCTTCTCTCTCCTTGGGAAGGATATTTATCCCGCAAAAGAAAAGAAAACAACACAACGACAGCGCCCGCGCGAGCCCGCCCCACCCCACCCCCATCGTCTCCGCCCCAAAAGTTTCCAACCTCCGCCCCACGACGGGACACCGCCCACCGCTCATCCTTTCGAATATCACATGATATCATATCAGGTACAGCACGCCTCCCGCCCGCCTGCACACACAGATCGATCGATAGCCGTCCTCGCAGGCAGAGTTAAAATAAATAATAAATGGGAATGGGAATGAAAGGAAATAGGCCCTGGGTGCTTCCTCCATCCCATCCGCAAGACGCAATGCGTGAGGACCCCTCCGAAATACGCAAGGCCTCCGCAAGACGCGGGGCCTCATCCCGCCCACGCGCAACCATTTGCGGCCACCATATACGGCCACCACTCAACACCATCACCGACCTGCGTCGTTATATATCCAATAACCCCACCCCACCCCCACCCGCGCTTCGCACCGTTTATTTATTGGCCAACCAACCAACCAACCAACCAACCATCCTTCCCCAGAAAAAATAAAGAAAAAATCCGCACGACAACGGGGAAAAGACGCACGACACCGAGGAAACGAACGAGAAAGATCTCCGGTGCACGCATGAGGCCAGCCCATACGTGAAACCCGCAGAAGACCGAAAGGAAATAGAGAGAACAAAACGATACAATGTACGCCTCCGAAAATAACAGGGAAAACGAAAATAGAAAGAGGAAGGAGCGAGATAAGGAATAGCACAACAAGAAACGCAAGAGCAGAAATGAAACAATATAAATAAAATAAAATAAAAGCGCAACGCACCCGGTAGAGCGCATCGAAGCAGTGCTTGTAGTTGAAGCGTTTCTCGGGCGCCTTGGCGAAGTCGCCCTGCAGGCGCACCATCACGATTTCTGGGGCAATTGTTGATATTATGATTAGGCCAAAACGAATTGAACGCACCTCCAGGATTACCCACGAACCCGGCTATTCCGCCCGCTGTGCCAATCGAATACATCATCAGTATATAAAGCCACAGGGAAGTGGGGGAGGGAGGACGCACCCATGCTGCCCGCGAGCGCGAGCTTCCACGCCGGAGCATCCTTCCCGGCGCCGAGGAACTTCTTGCTTTCGTCGTACGCCCAGAAGCGGCACATCGAGTATGACATCTGGCGCATCCATGTCCCGGAGATGCCGTCGAAGAGCCCGCGCACGCCTGCAGAATGAGTGAGTAATGCGTATGGATGGAGTGTTATTATTGGGACGCTGATAGGATGACGCACCGGCAGTCCTGACGGTCTTCTTCAGACTCTCGATCATGCGCTTGTCGCCGGAGGCCTGCAGCCGGACCTTTGTCAGGTCGAGCGGGCTTTTCGCGGGGGGTGCGTCAGTCAGTTAGTCTCCACGCTTGCGAGATCCGACGTACTGTGTTATCGAAGCGGCGATAGTCGCTGCCACGCCTACCAACAGGATCAGCGTTATGATTGGATAGGGCGAGAGACAGAATAGAGCACCTCCGAGCCAGAACGGATACGGCTTCTTCTTGGGCGGCGTCAATGCTGGGGGCAGCGACTCTGTTGCTTTCTGAGGTGCGGGCGACGAGGACGACGACATGGCGGTGCGAGTCTAGGAGTGGCGTGGGAGTCTAGGGTAATCTAGGCGGGATTTGACGAAGATGCGAATGTAGCGGGAATGTGGTAGGCAAGCCCTACAACGGTTGTGGAGATTGTGGTGGTCGGGAGCAAGAGGTGTGCTGGTGCTGCTGCCTGAATGACGGCGGTGGTAAGCAGCCACTGATGGACATACATGTGATGCGAACACGGCACTCCGCACCGAGCCGACACCCCTAATTTACCCCGCATTTCATGGGGAAAGTCGGAGGTATCAGGCGCGTAATTAGCGCCGTGGCGAGTATACCACTGGGCTTGTGGGTGCCTGGGTACCTTTTAAAATCCAGAGTGGGTGTTTCGCTCGAATATGCTCCGATTCCGCCCGACGTGCTTCCCAGGCGGCGCTGATGGCGAGTCAGAATGGGTCCATTTCGCACGCGGGTGTACGAAGACCCGCGGAAGCTGATTGACTCGACGTGGGTTTGATGCATGTGGATGTATAACATTCGGAAGTCGGTACGGTGTTGAGGCTGAGGTTAAATAGAGTACCTCTACATCCAGGCTCAAAAGAGCAAGGAAAAGCCCTTGTGGATGAAATGGTGCATCGCTCGTTGCTGTTCGTAGCTTCATGTACGCACGAAAGGTGGAGGTTCGAATCCTTCTGGGGGCATATCGGAGTCACACTTTTTTTTTCTCCAGGAAAGACGTGAGGTTTAGCCAAGTCAAAATGTATGCCAATAACCCTCGTAGACGAAGTGGTACATCACCCATTGCAAAATTAGTAGCATCCCTGTAGGGACTAAGTGGGAGGTGGAGGTTCGAGTCCTCCCGAGGGTATGTGTCAATGAGTCTTTGCAGTTTTTATCCAGGAAGCAAAGAAAGTAGGTAATCTATCCTAGCTGAAATGTATGCCCAATGACCCTCGTAGATGAAATGGTACATCACCCATTGCACATTAGTCGGTGCCCTGTGCCAACAAAATTAAGTGGGAGGCGGAGGTTCGAATCCTCCCGAGGGTATATAATGGTAGGGGGAATTTTTTTTTCGGTGGTGATAAAATCAGCGAGGTGGTCTATTTATGATCCACAGTAATAAAAGGGAAGTAATGCTCGTAAATGAAATGGTACATCACCCATCGCCCGTTTGAGGTATTATCCGGGAAATGGAGGAGCGAATCCTCCCGAGAGCGTGGCGGTGTTGCTTCTTATTTTTGTCCAGGAAGCAAAGAAAGTGGTCATCTATCCTGGTTAAAATGTAGGCTAACTAACCCTCGTAGATGAAATAGTATATCACCCATTACACATTCCCACCCCATGTGGCTACGTAATTAAGTGGGAGATGGAGGTTCGAATCCTCCCGAGGGTATATGATGGGATTCGAACATTTTTTTCTGTGGTGATAAATGTAAGCGGGGTGGTCTATCAAGGCGCTATAGATGAAATGGTACATCATCCATTCCACATTCCCGTGTGTCCGTAAAATTAAGTGGGAGGCGGAGGTTCGAGTCCTCCCCACGACGTGGCATAGGAATGTCAGAGTGTTCGTCCAGGAAGCAAAGAAAGATGGGCAGTCTGTCCAAAGCACAGATGTACACCAAATAACCCGCGTGGATGAAATGGTACATCATACATCGCCCACTTGAGGTATTCCGGGAGATGGAGGTTCGACTCCTCCCGAGAGCGTGGCAGTGTTACTTCTTATTTTTGTCCAGGAAGCAAAGACAGTGGGTCATCTATACTGGCTAAAATGTATGCTAAATAACCCTTGTAGATGAAATGGTGCATCACCCATTACACATTGTTGCGTTCTGAGCAGATTAAGTGGGAGGCGGAGGTTCGAATCCTCCCGAGGGTATATAATGGTAGGGGTTTTTTTTTTCGGTGATAAATGTAAGCGAGGTGCTCTACCCTACCTCAATCTACATGAAAACTGGGACGCTGAGGATCCAAGTCTTCCCGGAGGGCGATGTTATGATGTTACAGGAAATGGGATTGAGAAACGAAGCGATCTTCTTGCTGCGGTCACAAAATGCTTGTACGCCGATAGCTGGGGTGGCCTTGTACATGTCAGAGGGGACGAGAAATAGCGAGTTTCCCGCCGCTTCACCCAAGCCTTCTTCACCACTCATGGTGCCGTCTCGACCGCCTAGTACTTACACCTCCTGGAAATCATGATAGAGGTGAACGCTCATATGAATTTCAACACACTTGCCGCTTGATCACACACACCTTCAATATTGAAAATAAAGAAAATAATGACAGTGGACAATTTATGCATTGCATGACGCAGAATGCTTGCAGAACGCGCCAATTTGGCAATATGTCGCCATCAGCCGGATATTTCCGGTTCCCCGTATAGTTTCCTACCTCGCACCGAGGCCCACAAAGTCGAAACGCATGACTATATTTATAGATTGCGCAGCACAGTGGTCGTCAATCATATTGAGCTTTATACATAATCTTATTTCCTGGCGTCTGCAAAATATCAACTCCCTGACTCAAAAAATATCAACGCACTTGATTGGCAAGCTACATGATCCCTGTTATTCATTCAAAATACTTAATACACCGTTGTGGTCGAACCGTTGTCATGAAATGAGACTGCGGAATCAATATCAATGAGTGACGCGCCTAGTAGGTTTGGTGGGGCGAGGTGTGGCGAGGTAGATAGTTACGCGGCCGGTTATACATTTCTTTTCCTCAACTTCTCCTGGCGTCTTCAAAATATAAATTCTGCTGACTCAAAAAATATCAACGTCTTCGCACTCGATTGTCAAGCTACACAGTCCCTATTATTCATTCAAAACAATTACTACATAATCTTCGACCGACTTGAGGCCGAACCGTTTTGATGGAATGAGACTGCGGAGCCAATATCCATCAGTAACATGCGTAGGTTTCGTGGGGGCTGAAAAATAGGTGCTGCTGCGGGCGAATAATTCCGGTGTCAACTCGCCGCTCTTCCTGCCTTGGCGCGTTGCCATATGAAAACTGGAAATTCCGCGGCAGCGAGAGTATCGTTAAAAAGCCAGGAATGCTAAGGGAAAGTTAACTACTCTAATTCTTTCCCTTCTTTCTTACACATAAACATCATGAAGTCAGCTCAAAACATCGCCGCCGCCGTTTGTGCCTTGGCCTCCCTCTCACTCGTCAGCGGTGCCGCCTTGAACAAAGCGTCTGCGACTTTCGGGAGCTCCCACTTCCCCGTCTCGCCTTCTGCGACCTTCGGGTCCTCCCACTTCCCCGTCTCGCCTTCTGCGACCTTCGGGTCCTCCCACTTCCCCGTCTCGCCTTCTGCGACTTTCGGGAGCGACCCCTTCCCCGTCTCGCCTTCTGCGACTTTCGGGACCTCCCATTTCCCCGTCTCTGAGAGCTCTCAGAAGGGAGGTTTTGCGGTCATGGGCGTCTACACCACCTGTTTGACGCTTACCTTTGACGCCGCTCCGACCCCAACTGGCTCGATTGTGAGTTGCATCATGTGTTTATATAATAAAGATATTCACCCACCCTCTCAGCCGGTCCCCACGGCTGACCATAGCTCGAAGCGGGTCCCGTCTGTTATCTCAGGGTCCTCAGGCACAGTCAGTTCCCCGTTTTTTTCGTTGAAACACAGACCATGCTCACCCATATCGTTGATACCAGTCCACCGACTTGGAAGATGCCGCCGTTTTCACCACCTGCCTGGCCTTCATCCCACCTCCACTGTAGCGTCTCACCCAATCGGCACCGGCGGTTCTTCAGGCTCATCTGGTTCATCCGGCTCCATCGGTTCCAGCGGTTCATCGGGTTCATCTGGCCATAGTTCATCGGGTGCATCTGGTTCCAGCGGTTCCTCTGGCCATGGTTCATTAGGTGTATCTGGTTCCAGCGGCTCATCTGGCCATGGTTCATCGGGTGCATCTGGTTCCAGCGGCTCATCTGGCCATGGTTCATCAGGTGTATCTGGTTCCAGCGGTTCATCTGGCCATGGTTCATCGGGTGTATCTGGTTCCAGCGGTTCATCTGGCCATGGTTCATCGGGTGCATCTGGTTCCAGTGGTTCATCTGGCCATGGTTCATCAGGTGTATCTGGTTCCAGCGGTTCATCTGGCCATGGCTCATCAGGTGTATCTGGTTCCAGCGGTTCATCTGGCCATGGCTCATCGGGTGCATCTGGTTCCAGCGGTTCATCTGGCCATGGTTCATCGGGTGCATCTGGTTCCAGCGGTTCATCGGTTCATCGGGTTCATCCGGCCCCATCAGGTTCATCCAGCACCTCTCGTTGAGTTCCCCAGCAGTAACCCGTCCGTTTTCGGGTTTGGGATTCATCAAGTGCGGATTTTCTAGTCGTATCACAGACATTACACGGACATCCTACGTATTTCAGATTGTTATTAACGCTTTACTACTTAATATACGACTTACATGTTCTACTTACGACACGTAGCTTCTTAGCCTATAGAAGTTCCGATGTCGTACGTGGTAGACTGACTGCTCGAATTGTGGGATCGTGTCAGTACAATATATTTCCTCCTCCTCCGACGACGATATATCATTCATATCATGATAATACATTACTCCCCGGATTTGAATCCTTCAGTCTCAAATTGCAGAGAAGAGCGGCTCATCTAGCCGTCGGAGAATTCAGAACTGGCCCTTGAGAACCCTACTTCAAGTTCTCGCGCGCTCGTCGTGCTAGAGGAATTTAATACATGTTCCGATACTTCCTCACAGTCCCGCGAATAAAATCTGCTGTCTTAAACCATTGGTTCGATATGCTGGCCAACCTGTTGGTTGAATAACTGTCCGAATCCTCCCCAGGCCATGGGAATGCGGTCTCCTTCGTAACGCATATTAGTCGACTGTATTCAGAGTCCAAAGCAAGAAAGATGGCTGGGGTTCAAAGACGTTCAAATCCAGAGTATGTAGTGTCGTTTGAGTGATTTTTGTCAAAGAAGCGAAGCAGGGAGGCATGGTCTATCGAAGCGCAAATCCACAAATAACATCCCTCGGGAAGTGGTACATCATCCCTTACGCATATTCGAGGGCGATCACATTTTAAATGTGAGGTCGGGGTTCACATCCGAGCGCGTTGAGTTTCCCTTGCGTGATTTTTTTTACCAGGGATGAAGGAAGACGAGCAGAACATCACCAAAAAGCCCTTGTAGACTTTCAGTTCAACGTGTAGTATCCAGATCCGGTGTGCCACATCATCCTTACATATGAAGCAAACTACGACAAGTATCCACTTCAAGCTCTTTCCCGCTGCGTTGTGCTGTTAACCAACGCACATGGTACGATTTCGGTGGCTCATTCGATCTGATCCGACTCCTCAATCCAAAATCGTGAAGCTAGTTAGGCAAGTATAAACATCGGGTCAAACGCCGTGATAACATAGAACATACCTGGTTCGATTTCTCCGCGTCTCCGTTTATTGATTAAGACCTCTGCACGCGCCCAAAAGTCGTTCCCTCCCGCCGCTCCGACTTCCCAATCATCGACCCAAGGACCCGGTTCAGTAGGATAGAACATGAGCACGCAACGCGGATCAACATAGGTTGACTGATGCTCCGAGTCACGTCTCCTATCCCAGGAAGGCGGTGTACCAGATCTTATTGACCAAACGTGAAGTGTGGTCCAGTTCGCGATACGGGCCAAAGCAAGACGGAGAGAATCGGCCGCAGTAGAAGCTCAGATGTGTGAGGGCAGGTAATTGCGCGAAATTGAGATCGGCATAATCATTCCTGCTCATCATCTCGAGATGAGTGAGCGTTCGGAACGGAGGGAGGCTAGATCGATTGATTGAAGGTCTTCTCTCTTGATGATCGACACCCGCTGCACCCGCAGCTGCATCTTCTGCAGCGCACCTAGTATCCCCACGTTGAATAATTGGAGGGTCTGGAGACCTTCACAAAGTGGAATAGCACGCAACAGATCTCTAAAAGTGAGGGTCATCACCTGCATATAAGAGCAGGTGCCGGATATGTTTCAATCTGGCGCGAAGAAGAGCGGCCGGATTGAGTCGGGAATATTTTGACCCTTACTGGACCCATAACAGGAGTACGGTACAAGAGAGGCTCAATCCTGGATGCAGAACATAATGATGAGGTCTCTAGCGGGAACAATACTCCCTTACTTACCACTGAAGGACCCGTTGAGCAACCAGAAGGAGGGGTGGGTATTGTTTTGGGGTGATCAGTCGCCGCAATTTCGAATATTTTCCGCTCTAGCTCTGGTGGGAGATATGAGTATGTGTAAGACATGGTCAAAATTGAGAGGCAGTTTCAAAGGAAGGGAAACTGGTGGAGTAATTTGTGAGTCAGAGTCGCCAGCAATCCGCAAATTGATGCCATCATGGATTAAAGAGTTACCACCTTGCTTGTCAAGGTCCCCCCTCCTTCGACCTTATGAAAGTACTCAGCCTAGGAAATTCCGTCAGTCTGCTAAAAACACACAGCTCAAAATAATAAAGATTAGATAGCAGTCCGGTCACCAAACAAACCATCATACTAGCTGAGGCTCACCCTCGGAAATTCCATCGGTCTGCTGAAAATACATAAGGCCAGGCAGAAAGGATTAGATAGCAGTCCGCCTATGCCGGAAGCATGGGCAGCAGAGCCCCTCTCGCGTATCTCAAAGCAATGGCTTCACCACCGAATAAGTGCACGCCCAGTGTTTGGAAGGCTGCAAAGGATACGAAATAGGTTGCAAAGGAAACGCAATAAGAAAAGAGGGAGCTTAACGACATCTATAACGACGACGGCCATATAAACAGTGAACAGGGCTGTGGAGATTGTGTTTATTATCAAAGCCGATCCAAGCAAGGTCTAAGACTGCGCGACCGCGCCGGCCACCATGCAAAATACTGTACTACTT